GACTCAAACGGCACAGTGGCGTAACCAACAACGGAATAAACCCCTTGAGGCTCGGCCGACCATTGGCGAGGACACTCGGGATACCGCCTGATGAGATAAAACCAACAACTACCGTCACAGGCACGAAGTTACCCGACCTAGTACCGTACCGAGAGCTGTGCATTCATCTCGGTCAGCTGAGCACAACGGACAACATTCAAGGGGGTCACCCTTCCACGATACTGAGAGCCATAACGGTGAAAACGGAGAAATACAACGACGGTAGAACCGAGTCGTTTTCACCGCGGCAGTATAAGAGGTTAACTCGGGGCAACATCCCTGATTTGATAATATCGGTGTTAGATATAAAGCATAATCCTGTGAATATAGGATACCTCAGCATAACGCTGCACATAAAATGACCAGCGCACAAGGTCCCGGAATGAAGTTGAAAAAATGCGTCAATGTGGGGATATCCGACCTCGGGGACACACGCGGATTCGACGACCCCGGAGTAGATGGTAAATTGTACGCCTTGCAAATGAAAAACAACATTTACAAACGCGTTGAAGTCCCCATCATTAGTGGTACTAGAAACTTAAGTGATATAGTAGATACCTCAGGAGCAGCCCCCAACACTCGGTACACCCTAGTCCGCACCAGTGATGATAGATGGATGGTATACCCATCGTTTGTAGGCAAACTGTTCGACTTAGAAGATGTTGAGAGCAACGTGACGGCCATCACCAAAAATAAGCAGTATTCCCTCGTCTTAACCGACGACGACAAGTGGGTGTTGTTGCCCGCTAAAGTCGACTGGTTTCTCAATATTAGGCTCGGCTCCCCCTACGTGTTCACGGAGAACAAAGACAACTATCTAAACAAAGTCGTGAACAACGGAACCCTGCTCGTGGCTTACGTCCCGGCTCAGAGACGTAGCGTAGTCATCAGCCCAGTCGCCAGTATGGCAGCCCACATGCTATCTAGCGAGCCCGGGATGCAAAACCTGGTATTGCAGTTGGTGTCTGAATTCGAAGGCGTGGTCAACATCCTGGAGAGTCTACCAGCGAACCCCACGCTGGTCATCAAAGTCTACCTAGGGGAACCATCGCGGGATGAAGTCGAAATCGTGAAGGGGATCAAACTCCGGTGGGGGAAACGACACCAGTATCACGTTTGCACTGTTTACGTGCGGGTGGGTGTCGACTCCAACACCAGTCTGCAGGGGGTCACCGTGACCGTGGAAGACACGATATCACTCATCAAGATCTTCCTACCCGACAACATACACTTCATGGGGTTGAAGTGCATCCCTGAGAGATTATCAGGAAAACAATTGGAAACTATCTCGTAATAGTATTATAGCAATGTCCTGGCGGCATCGACCCAACGCCACGCTTAACGATCTAGGAGACACGGAGGGATTCGATCAGCCTGGTGAGGAAGACACCTTATACATCCTGCACTTGAAAGACAACGTGTATAGGCGGGTGTCGTTATCAGATTTTAAAGAGCCTGAATGGTTAGTCAACTTAACCCTCACCTCACCTTATATCTCCTTGAAACAAAATAATACTATCTCCGAGATTAGGAACAACGGCATCATTCTAGGGTCGTTCATTCTGGATTCTAGTGTACAAGTCATACGAATACCGGGCCACTCGGGCAACATGTTAGCTTCAAACAGTGAGGAGGTAAAGATAGAGCTCAAATTACTCAATTACCAACAGGATTTTAGAGATGTCGCGATAAACTTCACACTCATCATAGACGTCTATCTCGGAGAGCTAGGGCTTTGGCCCAAGAGGTTTATTAAACTTTTAGATGATATTTTGTTACGTTTGGAAGACAGGCATAAAAACCAACGTTGTCATATTATTAAGGTATCGGGAAACAGACCTTTAGCAAGCTTTGATGGAGTTCGTGTCCTAAATGGAAGTAGAGCTAAGACCACGATTTTTTACAAGCAAGTTAATCTAAATATTATCAGCTTTAAGTACATTAATCTAAGGTTAAATGAAACCCAATTAAAATATCTATTGTAATATATATTATAGGATGGGACTGTACCCAGTTGTAGAGGAAGTCGCGAAGACCCTGGAAACCGTAGACGGGTTCCGCTTGAGGCAGTTATGTGATGTAAAACGCCAACTAGAACAAGACCGCGACACGCGGAAAGCACTATGTAAGAAGTACCATAGAGCTTTCAATATCGTGGACGGGACTGATACCACCCTTATGGCAACCAGCATGGGACTAGGGGCGGCAGGTGTTGGGTTGTTAGCCACCATCGTGGCCGCACCTATAGTGCTAGGCATTGAAATAACAGCTGGGGTGGTAGGGGTGGCAGGGTTGGTGTTTAAGGTTGCATCCCACAGACTGCATCGTAAAGCATTGAAATACGATGAGATCAGGGTTCTAGCCGAAGCAAAGCTGAACACGGAATCATTTAATCCTCTCTGAACTCGACAAGTACCGTAAGATGAAACAAGAAATCTGGTCCAAGTCTCGTAAGTCTGCTATCAGCGAAGACGAGAAAAAAAAGTACATAGAACAGGGGGTACGAAAAGCGCAGCAAGCCTTTATTACGAACACCAAAGAGATCATAGGCGATTCACATTAAAATGTTACCTCCTGTCAACACGACATAGCGGCACAGTAGTGCCACGTGCGGCACAATAGTGTCACGCGTTGCCAGGAAGTTAACTGGGGGCTCAAAAGTAGTAGACAATGGTGGGCGAGATCTAAGGGCCTGACAAAAGCTTTATTTGTGAAATAAAGCTTTGCAGAGGCTTTTGTTGGACTTGATCTCGTACCGCTATTGTATCGACTACTAATGGAACCAAGTGCTACTATGACAAGAGCGCCTTGAAAAGAGTTCTGTCTTGGAACGTAATAATTGTACCATGGTCCGCCATCCGAGGACATTCCAGAAAAGGTTAGTAGGTGAGAATTCACCGTCACGTCAGTAATATTTCCATATCGTAACAGCCTATTTTTATATTGTGTTCTCCTCTATAGTTAAAATGTTTTAGATTTAATTACTAGTTTTACATTTATATCTGTGGTATTCTAGTTGTTTTACTGTCCTTTCTTGACAGGATTTTATAATCTATCTTTAATTATTGTTAATCTGTTACTTGTTTTAATCACCATATGGCTGAAAAATTGCCAAAGTGACTTTAAATTTTCAATCACTCACTCACTCCATATCGTAACGACTTAAGACTATATACTCAGTTTCTTTACTACTTAAAAAGACCTAGAGTTCCAAACACTCAAAATTACGATCAGTAAATAAAACAAATTCAAAATCCCCAACTGTGATGCTACCGAACCTGGCATACGTCGCTGAAATTTGTCAGTAATTGTCAATATTGTTGACAGTCCATTTGCTTCTGATAAATTACATGAAGCCAGATGACAACCAAGAGTTATGCTCTCATTCAACATTAACCTGCTGATTCACTAGTACTCTGTACCGTTTAAGGTCCATTTGTCCTTGTATTACCTGTCAGTTTCAGACATATTGCAGTTGTGACCTTGCCACACAAGTTCCTGTGTGTTTGGCATAACAGTGCAAACTCCGAAATGGATCTTATCATGTTGTCTGGGCATTGTGACCTAGGGACTCGTAATGATATCTGATAAATGTTTGTGATTTTGCAGCACCTTTGTAAGGACAAATATGCAAAAAGGGTTTTATTTAACACTCTTGACAATGTTCTATTTTACTTATGTCAACACCTCCTTGCATCTTCCATGAGCACGGCCTAGAACTTTTCACCGTCCGATATGACACGTACCATACTTCCAGTATTAGTCGGCGTGGTGTGTTTTTCACGCGAGCTATTGGACCAGCGCCAATTTGAGACCAAGGGTCTAATAAAGAAAACATTATACAGCTCTGATGGACGAATGCCCATGCTTTCGTTGTATTAATACGCACGGTTGTTGTGTGAAGAGGCTGAAATTAAATGAGTGGTGAGCAAATACAAAAGACACCTCTCTTTAACCAATCAAACCCAAACATTCTTTAATCGTATGGCACTCAGAAGGTAGCGGATGTGCAATGGTTGTTCGAAGGGGCAGTGAACCTGTAAAGTTGTTAATTCATAGTGCTTCATGGTACAGGAACGCTTTGCGCTTTGAGTGTGCCCCTCCGTGGTGCGGAATTCAGCGCATTACAAATGCCCTTGTCATGTTATTAATGTACGTTCAAAGAAGAGTCATGGCGTCATATTAATGACGTCACTGCCGTACTGTTGCTACTGATACTGCCAAAATGCTCATCAAACAATAAGTATTTTTCTTGTGTCAGGTCCGATCTTTGAGATTAATTAATGAATCAGTAATCAGGTAAATTAAATTCATTGTCCAATGAGTAAATATACTAATACCAGTGCAATACATGTCATCGTATCTCAGTTGTGTTGAACGATGCTCATGCTGTTGACCACTGGATTGTCTGGTCCAGACTCGATTATTTACAGACCGCCGCCATTTCCATAATCATAAGTGTGAGTGGGTTTGGTGTTATGCTGTTCTTTAGCAATATTCCAACAATATCACGACAGGGATACCTGAAATGGCTTCATACATTGTGCCCATGTTGGGCGTGAGGAGCGAACGAACACTTTAACCACTAGGCTAACCCACCGCCCCCATAATCACGAAACATCACTACAAGCTCTATTCAAATTAATGATTCCGACTATATCATGAGCACGCTGTTTTCAAAATTAACACAGAACTGTTGTGTTATCACAAGACTTGCCACAGACCCAAAATATGCAAAAACAAGACACCTGAAAAACACCGAAACATTTGTTCAAAATGCGTCAGACGTGAGGTATGTTATGGAAATATGTTATTGTCCGGCATAAAACATTTTCAGCATGAAACATGAATATATGGTAAAACAGATCACACTGAACCTGATATATCCATCTCCTATCTAACCATTTTCTGCATACCCTTTTCACGAATTAGACTTATTCTCTAATAGTATGGGAACAACGATGACTCGCGAACAGTGGCACAATCAGTTGGACTACATCATCTCTCTACTTGGATACAGTGTTGGAGCGGGCTCGTTAATCAAGTTTCCTTTCTACTGCATGCGCAATGGCGGAGGTAGGTCTCATTAAATATTACTTTAGGGAATATTCCACTCCAAAACTAACTTTTCACCATTGACTCTTAAAACATGTTACGTTTCATGTTCATATTAAAAAATATATCTTTATTCAACAAAGAGAGCCACAAAATATATCAGTTAGACGGTCTTCAGTCTTCCTATGGAAGTGGTCATGTTTCGGTCTTGTGAAAATACGAGAGCTTGAAACGACGTAATATAACACACCTCAAAAAGTGCAAAATTAAACGTCAATGACGTTTCTAATGTTTCCACCATAAATGTAGGTGCCATACAGTGCCAAAACACTTCAGGAAGATTAAAAGTTCTGCAAGAGAAAGTCTAATACCAATTGCATCATATTACAGCAGATCTGCTCAAAAGTTTAGCTGTGTTTGTTTTGCTTGTTAGGGGCGTTTCTGATTGTCTATATTATCTTCACGCTCGTTGGAGCCATTCCCATCGTGTTCTTGGAGATGACCATTGGACAGTACAGTCAGAGCGGAGCAATCAACGTCTGGAACATGTGTCCTCTTTTGAAAGGTAAGACTGTCAATGATATGAAAGGTGTGAACCAGCGTGGTTGTTAGTGTAACAGACAACTATAACCGACTTCTATCTCCTATCAAAGGAATTTCAACAAGACAACAGGTGAATGATTCGTATGCATCAAAACAGATCCCATTGGGAACGCGGTCTTATTGCACGTTTCCTTACCTACGTGGCCTATCCTTATTTTCAACACGGATGTTATCTGTGAGCATTTCATAGCATTTCACATACATCTTTCCCTGTAAATGTAAAATTATTCTGAACCTCTGAAGTTTAAACTGTACATATGGCCACGTTGTTTAGTAACAAATGTGTCATGGCTAGTGGAGTGAATATAAATTGTTTATTTGCGATTGTAGAAATGCTTTGACAGATTTTAACTTTCTACGTTTTTATATTGCAAAAGCAAATATTTTGTGTTTTACAAAAATGTGTTTAACATCAATCACACGGCACTACAAGCAAATATTCCTACCTTCCCCTTATGGCAGATCCTGTCGATAGGGCAGGTAATACTAGATTGGTTGTGTCGCTGTGTGCATGTTGTTACAAGTTAAGTCCCAACTTGAAACTGGAAATCAGACTGTAAAAGAACGCAATGTGAAACAAACAAACAACACAGAAATGTGATTCAGTTAACAATTGTACTATGAAATGAACTAAGTTTACAAATCACTTCAAAGAAATTACAACGGTAGCATTATGTAAGATCAGTAATTATGGTGATACCAGTCTAGGTACATATAGCAGGAGAGGCAACAGGACTGTGCAGAAAACTTCTGGCCTGCGTTTTGAAGTGGAACTTTCCAAAATATTCTGGATAGGAATGTTCTTGAAAGGCTAATGTGGTTGTAGTACCTCGAAGTATCTTTTAGAATTCTCAGCCTAAATCTAGAATACCACTGATCCCTACTGAATGTCAACATATACTGTTTAATGCACTTGAATCACTGTTACACAATTAAAAAACACTGCCAAAGTTTCACGTGTAGTGATAGGTGGCCTTCCGTCGTTTCAGGTATAGGCGTCGGGTGTGCAATTGTCGGATGGTTTTTCTGCAGTTACTACAACATCGGTTTTGTATGGTTTATGTATTACTTCTACAACTCGTTTTTCGACAAATTACCCTGGGACAACTGTGATAATGCATGGAACACTCCCACCTGCATTTCAAACCGAATTCATTTCACGAATGGAACAGGTGCGCATTCGAACATTACTGACCAGGTCAATGCATCAGGGATGACAGCCGCCGAGGAATTCTGGAAGTAAGTCACAGCAGATCAACCATCTGGCTTTATGTCTTTATCATGTTTAGTGACGGATATTGAATACCCCCTATATGCCATCATGAATGAAGACTTGCTGGGTGGACTTTTCTGAAAGCACCAGTTCGGCAGTCCAGATACCACGTCCATTCTTGTTGTCAGTTACTCGTGTGCTGATTAAGAACTTGAAGAATGAGGACAATTTTTATGGACATCCGACCTTTATTCTGTATATGCGAGAATATATGTCGAAACGTCGCGTATACAGAATAAAGAAGTTGTATATCCATAAACATTGTCCTCATCTCCTCAACTTCTAAAATGCCAATCAAAGAAGTGATTAAGAACTTGACTGTAAGGGAGTGAGATTGTTTACAATTTGTCACATTTTGAGTGTTTATCACGAAAAGTAAAACAACATCAAGAGAACTGAAGACTTGATTTAAACATCTGTCACATATCTTATCACAGGCTTTGACTTTAGGACAAGTATAGGATACTGGAAATATGTTCTTTTAATAGAAGATGTGAATTGACTGTGACATTGAGCGGTTCTCCTTCATCAGAATCAATGTTCTTGGAGCGACGGATGGTCTTGAAAATCTGGGAAGCATAAGATGGCATCTAGCTGGATGTTTGGCCGTCACCTATGTCATTCTATTCTTGTGGATATTCCAGGGAATAAAGGTGTCAGGAAAGGTAATTTAAAGAACATAATCAACCCCAAACAGAGGACAATTTAATACCGGTGAAGACACGGGTTAGAATTGGTCTTCAGCAACCCATACTTGTCATAAAAGGCAAATATCGGGATCAAGTGGTCAGGTTGGCTGACTTGGTTGACACATATCCCAATTGCGTAGATCGATGGTCATGCTGTTGATCACTGGATTGTCTGGTCCATTATTTACAGACCGCCGCCATATAGCTGGAATATTGCTTAGTGCAGCTTTAAACAACAAACAACAAGAAGATAAAATATCTGTTACTGAGACTGAGGCTTACACAATATGTTGAGCGAAGGGACTTTGCAGTGCGGTGCGGGTTTTATGACTTATGCAAGGTTTGCTGGGAAATAATCTGCATATGTCATCACCGGAACAATACCACTAGGTCCATAGCATTGTGAATTGTCAGCTGCGTTTAAATTCCCATTCTTAATTTGGCACAGCGTGATACCTTAAAAGAAAATGCTGAAAGAGGCAAATCACACACATCCATCATCTAATGAAGAAGAACGATCGCTCACTAAAGGCAAGATTTCATAATATTTGTTCGTGCCCTGCGTCAATATGTCCTATGTTTCAACACGGTTTGTTTCTCATGCAAGGAGGAGGGATAATATTTCTATAACACCTGCGAATTCCTTCACTGAGATTTAATTTTTCAGCTTGTGTACGTCACCGTTGCTGTTCCTTTCATCCTCGTAACCGTCTTCCTCATCCGGGGATGTCTACTTCCGGGTTCCTTAGAAGGAATGTATTATTACATCTTTCCAAAGTTTGAGAAACTTACAGACCCCTATGTAAGCCTTGACCTGAGACGTGCCCAAGCATTTTTTTGTTTTAACTCAAACTGTGCCATCCTGGACAAGATATATCAATTAATAGTTGAAAGCCAGTTTTGGAATCTTATTTATACTCGCTACGTAATACATCGGGCATTTTTTAAAACTGAGGTTGAATGATTCATTGAGCAAAAAATCCACCGAACACATCGTCTAAATGATAGCCGACGAAGTCAGCTGATGGTATGCTTGTCATAATTATCTAACATGATTGTAGTGGATTGAAACTGTACGAGGTCCATAGTCTTGATATGTTAATGACACTTCTTAAGTTTTGTCATGGACTAGTCTAGTCACGTAATCGAAACTAGATGCAGTAGGGGATCCGTGCTGGTTGCGATCATATTGGATAAGAATGATCCAGTTGAATACAAGAAATGGAGGAAAATAAGCATTAGTCATAGCACTGACTACTTTATCGTTGTAGATGTGGGTTCAATCCTGCAGCTTCTCCCTGTATACAATAGGTATTGGCATGGGATGCATCATCACTATGTCTGGACACAACAGGCTGAAGAACAACTGTTTCAGGTATTTTCTATTCGCTCGAGGTGTTTTTGTCCCCTATTCAGTATCTACCTTTTACGTTGAGTATTGGCTGGCTCTATCAAGTTAATCATATCCTTTACGGCGTTCAAAGCTTGGTAAGTTGACTAAATATCATCTCGTTAAAAATCGTCAACCGATATCGGGATAAAATCGACAAAGTCAATACTCCTTACGTTTTAGTTAAAACATTGTTTCAAAGTGAGTGAGATATTGAATTGGGTTTTATGTCCCATATGCCCCAGGCGATTAGGTGCCCGACTCTGAGGGTGTGGGTTCGAATCCCGGATGGGACTGAACCCAACGAAAAAGTACTAGAATCTGTACTTTACTAAGAACGTGTAATCCATAATATAACAAATATACCAGGCAGCAAAAGAAACACCAGTTTGGAATTTTCCGTCGCAGAAACGGATTACTGTAATGTTTTGATTGTATATTTTTGACAACATCTCCAACTTTACCTGAGCAAAGACATTCATTCCCAAACTCAGAATGGAACCCAGGAAATGATCTCGGAGATGGTACGGTGTTCTCCATGTTTTTCATGCAACTCATGCTGCACGTGCTGTTCACAAGGACCAGCCCTATGAAATGCACCCCCAAACCTGGTTGAAACATTAACATTACAACGTCAGCAGGATGCCGCGACTCAAGACAGCTCAGAGGAACCAGGCGCTAGGAAGACTAGAAGCTGGCCACACTGCACAAGCCGTTGCCAATCACTTCCAGGTCAACGTTCGGACCATCTGCAGGCTGCAGCAACGTTTCCGGGCCACCAACACCACAAATGATCGCCCCCGTACTGGCAGACCAAGGGTGACCACAAGACGAGAAGACCGCCATGTTGTGCGACAGCATGTACAGAATCCTTTCATGCAGACATCCGAAACAGCACGCCAGGCAGTGGGAACACACGGAAGACAAATCAGTACTGATACAGTACGCCGACGTCTTAACTGCGTGAACCTCCATTGCCGTAGACCTTACCGTGGACCTAACCTCACCCCTCGTCATCGGCCCAACAGTTTGCCCTACAACACCAAAATTGGCGATACAGAGATATGGAGAACTTTTCTGTTCACAGATGAGAGTCGGTACTGCGTATCAACTGCAGTTGGCAGAACAAAAATATGGCGACGAGGTGGCAAGCGTTACTCAGACCAGTGTGTTATGGAAAGAGACTCATTGGGAGGTGCAAGCATCATGGTATGGGGTGGAATAGGCCTGAACCAGAGAGTGGGTCCTGTGGTGTTCCAGAACCTTGGTCAAGGGAGAGGAGGTGGCATCACAGCGGTGCGCTACATCAACCAAGCTCTCAGACCCCACGCCATACCACATTTCGCACGTCACCGGACATTTTCCAGCATGATAACGCCCAGGCCCATACTGCCCAGGCCCTTACTGCCAGAGCTACTCGAGACTTCCTACAGCAGAACGGTAGCAACACTATGCAGTGGCCAGCCCTTAGTCCTGATTTAAACCCAATTGAACATCTTTAGGATGGAATTCAGAGGAGTCTGAATAATGTCATACCAAGGCCGAACACAGCCGATGTATTGCGCCAGGCCTTTCTCAGAGTGTGGTTCCAGGTGCCAGTGGCTTTCATCAATCGATTGGTGCACTCCATGCATAGAAGCTGTGCTGCAGTTATTGCCGCTCGTGGTGGTCACACTAGATACTGAAGTCAAGAGTCTGAATGAACTGCAAACGTTCACGTAATGTCTTGAAATTGTGCTGATTTATTCATTGATGTATCAAGATATTGTACACAAAAGGTGTTTTTGATCCGCTTATTATATCAATTTCTGTAATGATTTGATTACAGTGCCTATCTAATTTTGAATTCGTGCTGACCTTCTTTTTTTTTGCTGCTGAGTATATTACATTTGACCACCTACTCTATGGCATTGTGTAATCATGGGTTTTAGGCCGTTTGTAGCAATATTCCAGCAATATCACGGTAGAGATCCTCAGAAATTGGCTTCGCATATTGTAAGCATGTACCAATCGAACCCGGGCCGTTATCGTGAGCAAATGCGTTATCCACAAGGCTACCCCACCGCCCCAAATTGTTTTCAAAGAAAGATAATATGTACTATTGAAATGCCTTTTCTTTGTTGGTTGAATTGCATCCTGTGTCCCTGTGTATATTGCAAAGATAAGAAGTGTTAAAAAAAAGGAAGTAACCTTGTACCTAGCTTTGTAATATCTTTCTTGTAATTTTTCGCTTCACGGGGATTGAGAGAAACACAAAACGCAAAAGAACACCCTCTCGAACATCCCCAGACACATCATCTGTTTGGCGTGAAGGGTAACCAAACTGGTTATATAACATTCAGTACAGGATGTGTGTATATTTCAAAGCATTTACACAACTACTAACTGTTTAGCACATTAATATCAAATCTAGACAAAGTCAAAATTACTAGTACCAAGGCTAGACGTGCTTTTAAACAAAATAAGCGTCAGTCTTGGCGAAATTATGTTTCCCAAAAAAATTCACGTACACCTATGTCAAAGGTGTAGAACATGATCCAAAGAATAAAGGGCAAAGATTCCAAATCTACTGTTCATCATCTGAAGGATGGTGATAATCTATTAACTTATAAAGCTGAAATAGCAAATACAATTTGCGAAACTCTTGCCAAACATTCTTCATCATCAAATTATGTCCCTGAGTTTCAAAAACATCAGAAACAACAGGAGAAGGAAAAAAACCATTTTCACTACATGAACTACATACCGCCCTTGAGCAAGCTCATGATACAGCAACAGGGGCTGATGATATCCACTATCAGCTCCTGAAGCATTTGCCCGAATCATGTTTGGAAACGCTGCTAAATATATTTGATATGATATGGACCAGAGGGAATGTCCCAACTTCGTGGTGTAATGCCCTTGTCGTCTCTATTCCAAAGCCTGGCCGGGATCATACTGATCCATCTAATTACAGACGAATCTCTTTAACGAGTTGTGTCTGTATAACCAAGGAACGAATGGTTAACAATAGATTAACATGGTATCTTGAAACCAATAACCTTATAACAAATATTCAATGTGGTTTCATGAAAAATCGTAGTACCATTGATCATTTGGAACGTTTAGAATCCTTTGTCAAAAATGCAATAGTAAATAAACAACATGCAGTATCGATATTCTTCGACCTCGAGAAAGCATACGATACCACCTGGAAGTCATGGCATTTTGAAGGATTTACATGATTTTGGTTTAAGGTGTCGTTTACCTCTGTTATATCACAGTTTTTAAAAGACAGGCAATTTCAAGTCCGAGTGGGTTCAACCCTGTATGACCATTATAATCAGGATCAGGGTGTCCCTCAAGGCAGTATTTTGTCTGTAACATTGTTTAGTATTAAGATCAACAGTTTATCAAAGGTTTTAAATGATTCAATTGATGGATCACTTTTTGTTGATAATGTTAACAATTCTTTTCGCGGTAAAAATATGCATACTATTAAACGGCTACTGCAGTTGTGTTTAAACAAAATAAATAAATGGCGTCTTGAAAACGGCTTTAAATTTTCGAATATATCTCCTTCCCGTCTTCTTTCTTCTCCTTCTTGGCAATTAGTGAAGCCACAAGGTTGACCTTAAACTGACAAAGCATTAGAAATCAGAAACTAATGAATTACAATATAAACAAAAATATAATCAATTAAAAAGTACATATAATACATACAAATCCTTATTTACAGATGGGTCCAAGGATAGTGGCGCAGTTGCTTGTGCCACTGTCATTGGATCCAGAACAATATCTTCTCGATTACCAAATAACAGCTCAATATCCACAGCAGAAGCAAATGCAATACTAACAGCTCTTAAATATATTAATAGACATCCTAAATATAAACAATATATAATATAAATAACATAAAGACTCTCTTTCTTGCCTTCAGGCTATTAAAAATCTTTCTTTTAATTGAGATTTTTTAACTATATAAAGATCTTGCTACTGGCCTATACGACATCGTCTTTTATTGGTTACCCAGCCATGTTGGTGTTTCTGGGAAGACAATGGCTGATTTTGCTGCTAAGGCAGCACTCAACAAATCTGTGACGCCACTTCTTATTCCATTCTCTGATTATAAAGCTAGCATTAGAACTTACATCCGTGATCTGATGCAGAAGAAGTGGGAGACCCAAATAGGTATCAATAAATTACATGCAATAAAACCCTATATTGGTTACACCTACTTGGGTTGGTCCAGATTTGAAGAGGACATCATGCGACGATGTCGTATTGGCCACACAAGATATACACATGAATATTTGCATAAAGGTGATGATCCTCCGTTTTGTATCCCTTGTGATGAAAGAATCCACGTCAAGATTGTCCTGCTTGACTGTATTGATTTTTCCATCACAAGGGATAAATATTTCAATGTCAAAATATTGAAGGATCGTTTTAATAATGTTAATTACCATTTAATAATTGCAGTTTTAAAGGAAATAGAATTATTAGATAAATTTTGAATAATATGTTTTGTAAATAGGTAAATGGTATTTCAAACATGGTAGTATGAATTAGCAACTGGGATTGTTAGTGGCTGTACCCTCAAAGGGGGGTTAAAGTATCGTACACATTATTCTCCTCCTGAGAGGGTACGTAAGTCCCAAAACTTTCAATATTAAATCTAAGCTTACCGGATTTTTAAACGTAATATTTTTGTTCTTTTAAAATTCGGCTAAACTTTACCTACAATCACCAGCGGCTGAAGGGATGGTGTAAATCCAACCAGGGTCCATGCAGGTAGCAAAGGCACTGTAAGTCCCGATGGTCCCTAGTTTGGTGATCTGCCTTCAGTTGTTGCCTGTTTTTATATTGTATCGTCCTCTATAGTTAAAGTATTTTAGATTTAATTACTAGTTTTAAATACATCTATCTGTGATAGTCTTTTTGGTTTTACTGTCTTTTGTCGACAGATATTTTAAAATGATTACCTTGTTTTCATTGCTATATGGCTGTAATATTGCCGATGCGATGTAAAATTTTAACTCACTCACATTAATATCAATACTGTATTGTATGATTTCGACTTTTTTACCTTCTAGGGATGCAATACTAGTTTGCCTGATGGACTGTTTCGCCAGCATCTTTATCGGCTTTGCCTTCTTTGCCTGCGTAGGCCACGTTGCCTACTTACGTGGTGTAAAGGTAGATGCCTTCGAGTCATCGGGTAAGTCACCCAGGAAACTTTGTTCAACACGACACTCAGCAATAGGACAGTGGTCTGTTTCAAAAATCGAATCTGGGCCAGATAATGCAGTGATCAACATCAATAGTATTGATCTACACAATTTGGATACGATGACATGGGTGAACCTCTTACGACAAGCATGAGCTGCTGAGACCGATTCTCACCCGAAGCTTCACTGGTATCAGGAAAGTTAGTAAAGCATAACCCTGTGTGAATCCCAGGCTAGAACAGACCCACAACAACCTATTCATTAACTGTAAGTAAGAGATTCACATAATATTATCCATCCGTTTGCCTGGTTCGGATGCTGTTATGGTATAAGAACGATACATGTTTTTCAGAAATGTTTTTGCCTTACAGGCAATTGTACAATGCGCTTGGCTGGATATGGTGTTGTGTCTTTTCAGGATACAACCTTGCATTTATAGTATACCCCGATGTCCTTTCTTCCCTCCCGATGCCCCAGTTGTGGTCTGTGTTGACGTTTGTCACAATGATGACACTGGCTATAGATTCTATGGTACGTTTAGAGTGAGTTATTCATATACACTGGCTATAGACTCTACGGTAAGTTTAAAGTTAATGAGTTTGTCACAATGATGACACTGGCTATAGATTCTACGGTAAGTTTAAAGTGAATTAGTTTGTCTCAATGATGGCACTAGCTATAGATTCTACGGTAAGTTTGGAGTGAATGAGTTTGTCTCAATGATGACACTGGCTATAGATTCTACGGTAAGTTTAAAGTGAATTAGTTTGTCTCAATGATGACACTGACTATAGATTCTATGGTAAGTTTAGAGTGCATGAGTTTGTCTCAATGATGACGCTGGCTATAGATTCTACGGTAAGTTTAGAGTGAATGAGTTTGTCTCAATGATGACACTGGCTATAGATTCTACGGTAAGTTTAGAGTGCATGAGTTTGTCCCAATGATGACACTGGCTATAGATTCAACGGTAAGTTTAAAGTGAATGAGTTTGTCTAAATGATAACACTGGCCATAGATTCTATGGTAAGTTTAGAGTGAATGAGTTTGTCCCAATGATGACGCTGGCTATAGATTCTATGGTAAGTTTAACGTGAATGAGTTTGTCTCAATGATGACGCTGGCTATACATGCTATGGTAAGTTTAAAGTGAATGTGTTTGTCTCAATGATGACACTGGCTATAGATTCAACGGTATTTTTAAAGTGAATGAGTTTGTCTCAATTATAACACGGGCTATAGATTCAACGGTAAGGTTAAAGTGAATGAGTTTGTCTCAATGATGACACTGGCTATAGATTCAACGGTAAGTTTAAAGTGAAAGAGTTTGTCTCAATGGTAACACTGGCTATATATTCTATGGTAAGTTTAGAGTGAATGAGTTTGTCTCAATTATAACACTGGCTATAGATTCAACGGTAAGTTTAGAGTGAATGAGTTTGTCTCAATGATGACGCTGGCCATAGATTCTATGGTAAGTTTAGAGTGAATGAGTGTGTCACACTTATACCACAGGCTATTGACTATAAGGTAAGTGTGGAGTGACGCCATTGGCTACGAAATATCTCCCAGGGCTAGTGGATTGAGTATCTACACGACCAGAGAAAGTTCTGTGATTCTAATAATCTTGACACGATTTCATTTGTTTTGGTTATAATTGGAACTCCTTTGGTCCAATTGTGGTTGTTGGTATTCTAATAGCATTACATGTAACATTGATTTTTCTGAACAGAATATTTTATTATTTGAAATTGCTAGTCTTTAGATTCAAAAAGCGATAACGTGCTAATGTTTAACTCTTCTCGTCCCTATATGACAGACATAATGCTGACGGGATGTTAATTTTAACTCACTTACTCAATGTATAAAGACCTCAAAGTTATTATTTACCCTTACGTAAAAAGGTTTTATTTGTCGATCATTCTGTGATGTGGTCTATCCTATTTACCTCTTCTTAGGTCCCAAGCATCGAACTGATCGTAGCTGCGATAGAGGACCTGCTTCCCCAACTCACAAAGCGACACTGGCTGGTTAACGCTGCAGTAATCCTTAGTCTGCTGCTGTTCAGTCTAATTTATGTGTCCCAAGTAAGTTTAACTCCCCAATTGCTCATGACACCAGTAACAGGACTGATAAGACCAGATTCGATTATTCACTAACGTCGTATGATTGGTCTCTTGCCTGGGGCTGCGTTACGCATCTTTCAACACTTAATTACATAGAATGAGTGAGTTTAGTTTGGCGCCGCTTTTAGCAATATGCCAGCAATATCACGGCGGGGACACCAGAAATGGGCTTCACACATTGTACCCATGTGGGGATTCGAACCCGGGTCTTCGTGCGGATGCTTTAACCACAAGGCTACCCTACCGCCCCAAATTACATCGCATTTTCATGGATCGTGCATTCATTTCTACCGGTAAAACAGAACATACTAATCAAACTCGCAAAGACAAAGTTTCAGCACTGATTGACTGATTCATTCATATGATTTTACCTCTGATAAGCCTCTGATATATATGATTCAGACAGATTGCGCGTATATCATTTATTTCACCCTTTTAACATGTGACTCAATGCTAATGTGTATTTTAGGGTGGTATATATGCAGTGACGCTGGTGGACTGGTACGCATACTTTCCTTCTATCGCCATGTTCGCCATGTTGGAGTGCATTGTAGTTGGCTGGTGCTATGGTAAGAATTTCATTACAATCACCAGTGGCTGAAGGAATGGTGTAAAACCAGCTGGGGTCCATGCAGGTAGTAAGTCCCCATTGTCCCTAGTATGGTGATCTAACTTCAGCTGCTGGTGATCTATAATCTGCTTTTATATTGTAATGTCCTAAATAGTATAAACTTTGAAGGCACATGCTAGTTTTAAATCTCTAACTGTGATATTCTAGTTCTTTTACTCTCCTTCGCAGACAGATTTTAAGATATAACACGATAAAATATTGAACATGGCCTAATTAGGTCACGATATGGCTGAAATATTGCCAAAGTGACTATAAATTTTAACTCACTCATTCACTATGGTAAGACTTTAGCATTATTCTGCCATTCTCGGATTGAAATGGTAAGTGAGTTGGAAGCTAAAAGATAACACTCAAGATGAATTATGTATGACACACATGTAAATAATTTGCTTCACGATACAAACTCACAGACACAGACAAACATCTGATTACTGTTGTTGATATGAAGTTATTATCTCTGTTCCGGTGGAGTATGTCGTTAGGTACTACGGCGCATCTATATTCATTACTTTTTACGCAGAGTGTCCATAATTGTTTCTGGTGTACATGACATGGACCAAGGTATGTATGTACGAGGTCGGCAATACTAGCAAGGGGGTTACTTCCTGGGATAATTCCCTCCCGGGCGTTGGCAATACATGCGTCCATTAGCGTCGCCAGAATCCTATCAACGTAAGTTATAATATAAAAGTAATGTCATCTGCATTTGTCTGTGAGAACAATACATGACATGCTGGACATCCTCATTGATATATACAATGTACATTCAACACCTACGTAACGTTTCTGAGTAAAACATTCAGACAAGAAGTAGGCATCCCACGGGCTCAACCCGGACTCCCCACCTTGCGGATCTGTTACTTCATGCATATTCTTTCTTCATATGGCAAAATCAAAATATTATATGTCCAAGATGTTTAACTTAAGGTTCAGGTGTACCACAAATGATTCAACATCCTTCAAATTACCAGTTCCCTTCCACTGGTTAACTTGCCTGAATTAGAAATACAGGAAACCGCATCATATGTTACATGTTCAGATATATGCATAAAGATTCAAAGTGACAACAAACTCTCCACAAAACTGTATGAAAAAACAATATTTGAGGTTTGAGGTTTAGAGGTTGGTATTTAGATTTGACGCATAACAGACAGAAATGTTGCCCGATGTATTTCCCTATTTTGCCTTCTATTACACGTTCACTACTTTTTTAACAACTGACTAGCATTTCCCTGTGCCACCGGTGCATTCGTTCTCCTTTTTAACGAACACCTGACATTTTCACTGTTTGGTAGTGATGCATAAACACTAGGGCTGTAATGATTCATCGAACTATCATGGATTGCAATTGTTGAGTCTCCGAAAGCAATTAATCGATGGGAGAAACGAAAAACTATCGATGCATCGATAGCATGTGTGACTATTGATAGTTTAGTAATTGACTTCCGTTGGTAAATGATCAGCGCAAAATACAGGAAGCACCAGGTTCGTTCACTTTGATTTACAGTTATCCGCCCCATTTCCTCTTAAATAATCTTGATCTGGATTTCAAGTTTCTTCTCAGTTATTAAAAGAGACTGACACTACTTCAGCTTCATTTATTTCATATAAACTATACATTCATTTGGGAAATGACTTGAAATGAGACACTTCAGGGAGAAAAACAAACTATTCCAATAGTTGGTAGCAATACACTATCGCAAAAGTATGTTGCAATGGACTATCGCTATCGCAATAGTGAGTGAGTGAGTTAAGATTTACAGTCACATCGGCAATATTTCAGCCATATCGTGACTAAAACAAGTTTAGAATTCACAATAAAAACATGTAAATCATAAAAACCTGTCATCGAAGGACAGTAAAACCAACTAGAATATCCCAGTATCAAGACATAAAACTAGCATCTCCCTCTAAAATTGGATTTCAAATAAGGACAATACAATATAAAAATTGGCTAAAGGTCGCCAACAACTGAAGGTAGATTGAGTGAGTGAGTTGCTATCGCAATAGTTGTTTCCCCCTCAATAGTCACCCCTAATAAACACATGCTCGTGATATAGTCGGAAATGTACAAACAAATGTGTTTTTACCAGAGACTTCTTATGGAAGTGGAAAGGGTTTGTCGTTTCTGTTCTTATAACCTTTTTTTCCATAAACTATTGTTGAGAGCTGTGTGACATCCCCCTCTCACTTCCAGGAACTGAGAGGCTGCAGGAAGACATCACCAGCATGTGGGGACAAAGACTCACAAGGTTTATGGTCATCAGTATCAAGTTCGTGTGTCCTTTACTTCTGTTTGTAAGTTAGATTTTGCAATGTTTTTTTCTTCTACATCTTAGACTTTGAGTCACACACGATATATACTGGACAAAAATAGTTAGGTATATATGCAAATTTTGAAATTATGAATAAAAATCTAATTATTCATTGACACGCTGATAAAATATAAATCATAAAAATACCAATATCCCTAACTTATTTTGCCCAGTATATGTGTTCACACACCACTTGTGTATCTAAAAAATATGTTTCGAAAACACGGCTATCATTTCACAATGAATAAAATTGTGTTGCATATGCAAGGTAAATTGTCATAACTTCTTATAGTATTTGAATTCATCCTCATGATTCACCATTTGCTCATGATGTTTGTCACTGGATTGTCTGGTCCAGGCTCGATTATTTACAGACCGCCGCCATATAACTGGAATATTGCTGAGTGCGGCGTAAAACTAAACTCACCCACTCTTGTATGAAGTGACTGTTATTGAAATCAATAACCTTCGACTGAAATCCTACAACGTCCTCTGTTTCGTAACCCAGGTGGTGTTCTGCTACTCTCTGTATTCCTACCGGCCACCCAAGTACGGGGACTACATCTATCCCACCTGGGCAACAATTGTGGGCTGGCTCATATCTTTGGCTTCACTCCTACCTCTACCCGTCGTCTTCATCTGGACCATCGTTAACAGACATGAAACAACGCTTAAACAGGTAAAGGACGACTATATCTGTGAAGACACATCCGATTTCACATGTGTATATGAGGGCTGGCAGAAACGTTCTGGGTCTGATAATGATACTGCACACTAACACGTTGACATTTATGTTGAGCTGTATGTCCAATGCTTACCGGCTGTAGTGAAACCAAGTAGATAGTTGGCATACAGGCAGCATATCTCTGTTGGGTAGTCTGGTTTGATTAAAATGGACTCTATTTGACACCGTGCTTTCTGGGGTATCTCTAACTGAAAGGGTTTTTTCCATCACTAGGGATAAGTATTTCAATGTCAAAACAGTAAGCAGTGGATGAAATAAGCCAAAAACCCAGCCAGACATCAGGGCTGGTAACTTCAAAATGTTACCAGCCCAAAATGGATTTAACCAGACCAAATATGGTGAATTTACTCAGATATATGGAACATCTACAATTTTTACCAGACCATCGGGCTGGCTAGCTGTAAATTTAGACCGTCCGTCAGAAATCTAGACCGTCTCGGTCTGTCGGACGGGTCTTATTTCAAACACTGCAGTAAGGGATCTTTTTAACTACAATTATCATTTACTTATTTCATTTTTAAAAGAAATAGAATTGTTACGTAATTTTTTATCAATGATTTGTAAAATATAATAGATACATATTTTATTATTGGCAGTTTGATTAGCAGCTGAGATTGTTAGTAGCTGTATCCTTACAGGGGGCTGAAGTATTGTAAAATTATTGTCCCCCTATGGGGGTACTTAAGACCTAAAACATTCAAGGTAAAATATACTTACAGAATTTTAAAAACGCTGTATTTTTGTGTTTATAAGTTATGGCTAAATGTAACTGCAATCAACAACGGCTGATGGGATGATATAAATCCGTCTGGTGTCCATGCAGGTAGCCAAAGTACTATAAGTTCCCATGGTCTCCAGTATGGTGATCTTCCTTCAGTTGCTGGTGTGCTATTGCCCGTTTCTATATTGTATTGTCTTGCATTATAGCATAAGGTTTTATTTACATGCTAGTTTTATATCCATTATCTGATACACTCGTAGTTTTACTGTTCATCGTAAACAGTTTTATAGCTTCCAATAATATTGATCTTTACTGATAATTAATTGTTCTCGTCACGATATGACTGAAATATTGGCGATATGACGAAAAATATTGACTCGCACACTAACTGAAAGGGTGAACTGAGACAGGCATCTAGGCACTCCAGTTTAGTGGACCAAGTGTGAGAACGTCAGAGGGGATTATTCTGAGAAGTAAAAAGCGGCCAACTCGATGAATAATATGGTTGTGTTGTATTGGAAAACCAGTTTAAGTTCACAAGGGATAGTCCAATATTCAGTGCCTCCAAACTACATGAAGGTGTCTAGTGTCAAGTGGATGAGCCTTTCATCATGACCTTTAAGTACACCTCCGTTAGGAGAAAACATCCCTGACATAATTTCATGCTTTCAATTGTTGAAGTAAACTACTGATTGCAATTACCATGGTGGTAATGTAGACACATACTAGTTTGCCGTTTGTAATCTGTGCAATATGAAATATTTCAGAAACTAAAGAAATCTCTGGAGCCCAATGAAGACTGGGGTCTCACAGCCCGACAGGAGTGTTCCAGTGGAGTCTTACAACCAATGGTAGATGTCGAATTAACACCCGTCTAATCAGGAGACATGCATGTGATTTGGTGACAACTTACAGAACATCACAAATGAATTGAGAAGTGTGAAAATGTTCCTGAACATGATTGGTGCCATGACAATTGCCACAACATTACTGATGCCTGTATGTTCTACCAGAACCTTACTTGTTAATGAGGAATGAATGTTCCCTCCTAAGTGTGAATGAGTTTAGTTTTACGCCGCACTCAGCAATATTCCAGCTATATGGCGGCGGTCTGTAAATAATCGAGTCTGGACCAGACAATCCAGTGATCAACAGCATGAGCATCGATCTGCACAACTGGGAACCAATGACAAGTGTCAACCAAGCCATTAAGCCTGACCACCCGATCCCATTAATCGCTTCTTACGACATTCATGGGTTACTGAAGATCAATATTCTAACCCGGACCTTCACTGGCCTCCCTCCTTAGAACACTCAGGATGGGCTCCAGAGTTAGAGATCTAGAATGAGTTACACGTGTATCAAGGCTTGAAGAGTTGGCCATACGAAGTAGTTAAGCCCACGAACATGGTGCTCACAAAACTAAAAAGCATATAGACTCACATGAACTTCTATTTGGTCATCAACTTCCACAAATATTAAATAACCGGAAACTAGTAACTGTTCTTCATGTACCATTGTGTAAGTCATGTTATTGGATATGCCACATTTAGATACTGGATCGTGTTTTATCATATTCCCGCATAAAGCCCATAACTGGTGATACCTTTATTATAACATGCTGGTATTCATCCAAATCTGTGATACTCTGACGGTTTACTGTCATTTGACAGGTTTTTATGATGCAGATTTGTTTAGGTTTAATATATAGATTGTTCTCGTCACGGCTGAAATATTGCCGTTGTGGCGTTAAATATTAACTCACTCACTCACTCCATAGCTGGTGACATGAAAAAGAGCAACACGCCCCAAAACAAGGAAAGTGTAACAACTCAATTTGCAAAGTCCATATCCTGCTGTGTCCACAATTTGCGTTGATACAGGTGACCATTACGTTGCATACAGATCTCAAAAAGCTTTGAGATGTTGTTCCAAAGTCAAACAAAGATTGGTTCAAACATACTAATTGTGTTCCTGTTGAAGGTGTCCAATCCCATCTCGGCCTTGTTCATGATCGTTCGTCACCACTCTCCCCTTTCCGTAACATCCAAGTAGACTCGTCCCCCTATCCATGCTTGTTATGTGCGAAAGCACCACATACCAATCAGACCCTGCGTATTGCGGTCCTTGATAAAAAACAAACCACCTGTAATTAAATCGTTTATTGCATTATGTGATTGTTTATATAATCATGAAAAATATATATCGTCATATTGAAAGTACAAAGAACAGAGCTAACAGAATTGTGTTGTCTCAAGTGAAGGTTCTTATAAGAATAATGTCAGAGACGGTAAGCGATTCAAATACACACATGTGCGTTTGTTTGCATAACGGCTCTCATGGGTCCGATTGAGTGGACTTCTGACGATCTCTTGCCGGCTTGGGTTGTACGTACGATTTCCAACATTTTAGGAAATCTCGCTACGAGTTTCAAAACAATTTCATATTACATCTACATATAACAAATGAACTTTAGTGTTTAATATTTGGCTTATATTTCACATCTCTGTGAATATTTTAGTCAGACTTTTTAGCGTATTCACTTTTTATTACAGATACATGTACATAAAACAATTTTTTAGAATTCAGTTTTTATTTACACATAATTTATGCTTTTATTTATGTATCTGTGTATGATGATTATTATGATTACTGTGAAAAGAATAAAATAATGAAACTAGAGATTTTTTGTTTTCTACGTTGTCGTATACAAGTTCAATGTATGTAGTATTGTGTACACAATGTGCATGTATACAATGAATTTCAATCTCGAATCACACGATATCTCGAACCTGTCTTGATGGTCCCTTGGGGTTCGAGATCCAGGGAGTTCTAGTTCTGATGTTTTCTTTGATTGGCATTCTAGATGTTGGGTAGATGAAAAATGAGGACTATATTTACAAGAAAGTGTATTGAGGTTTTGACACCGATCTCTACCGACTGTCCGAGAAAACAGATACGATTGTATCCTCATGGCCGGGAAGGCTAAAGTCGTGACGATTCTCGGTTCAATGAGCGTAGTCTTCCCGGTACTTGTAATGGCTGAATGAACACGGCGCGCCCCACTTGGAGGCTCTGACAAATTACAATTGAGATAACACTTTAATTTGGGCACATATACAAATATAAATTAAGTTATTTACACATTTTCACGTCTAATCTTCGTTACACATCTTCTAATTCGACATTAGATAGTTCATTTTGAGGAGACATTCCTAAAAGATAAAAATATACCTTCGAGTTTCTGCTTGTGTATGCTGATGATCTTGTAATATTTTCTGAATCTGTTGAAAGGTTGCAAACACAGTTGAATTCGTTGTCAATTTGAATTCGTTGTCAATCTTTAACATCGTATTTCTACATTTAATGACGAGGTGTAGTGCACGCGTAGTGTTGCAATATAAAAGTGCTTAGATGTATCAAATAATAATGATTAATATTTATGTATCCAGTTGAATGAATTGGTCTCAAAATTCTTGACTGGTCATTTTACTAAGTTACGCAAGTACGTCAGGATCTGGACGCCAACTTATATATATATATATAGCCAGTTTATATTTATAAAAATAGTTTCATTGTATGGTCTTGTTTCTGAAGAAGTGATAAGCATTGTCCCTGAACATAACATGACTTTTCATCTGGTATTCTGACTGTCATTTTCACAGAGTCGATGAAGAATCCAAGAAATCTGATAATTGTAGAAGGCTCAAGACAGGATTTTTCTATATTAATTTTGAAGCCAAGCAATGAAAACAATTTTGTCATAGCTTCGACAGAAACTGTGCAATCAACATAATTGTCACCCTGAGTATATGTATCATCAATATAGCCAAGACATTGAAATCCTTCTGTTCTTAATTGTGCAAAGACTGGCTTCAGTAGTTTGTGAATATCCCTGTGGCACAAACCATTTGGCATGCAAGTAAACTAGAATACTTGACCATTCCGTCTAAACCGGAGATATTTTCTACTGGTTTCGCGCACATTCACTGAGTAATATGCATTGGTCAAATCAACTGAAGCCATGTAAATATTTGGTTTAAGCATATTTAAGACGTACTGCAAGCTATCCATCTTAAAATGATGATATAATATCATCAAGTTTTAAAAATTTAGAATGGCTCTGTATTTTCTATTTCCCTTCAATCTCAAGAAAATGTTTGAAATAAACGGACCTTCACATTCAATTGCCTTTTCAATTACACCACATTCTAACAATATGTCTATTTCTTGACCAATGATTTCTACTTCTTTTTCATTGAATACAATTTGTTTTGGTTCAACCAGCTGAATTGGAATAGATGTAAACTCAATTTTCAGACCTTTTACAATTTTTCAAAATGTATTTGTCTGAAGTCATATCAGCCTATATCAAACACAAAGCTATGCTGCCAGCTGTGAAATCTGCACCATCATCTAACACATGCATGTGGTCTAGTAACAGAGAATGAAACTGTCCTACCTGGTCCCATGCCTGTGCTGGGCCCTGTTGGGGGGTTTACTGCTGCTTTCTTCCCCCCCCCCTTCCCCTTTATTTATTGTGGCCCCTTTGGGTGTGCCATCTGCTGCCGCGTCCTAAAAAAGGGCGCTCCTTGAATTGGTAGCCATAGTAACCTCTAGATCTGCCACGACTTCTGCCATGACAACCGTGGTGTCCATTTGAATAAGGGTTGTATCTGTAACCACGTCCCTGGCTCTGTAACCACGTCCCTAGCATTTGGTTTGTGCATCAGCGCCATTAGAATAAATTGACTCCACCTCATAGGGACGATATTCTTCGTCATGCATCTCGCTATCATAGGTGTCATCGTAAGAACGCATTTTTTCAACTGTGTTTTCGAAACAAGCCACCCGTGTAGGAATCACGATCTTCATTCCTTGTACCTTCTTTGGAACACCCTGGCTATTCAACAGACTTTTTATCACTGACAGTCTTTTTGCCACCTTTGTGGTGTTTTTAACTGGTTGCATTAACATGTGTGCCAGCTATATCGGACATATTGTCAGTTCTGGGGCTTTTCAATGCCGTCTCGGTCATGCCGATCGAAACCCCCGTGGTTCAAACACGATTCGATGGTTTTATATCGAACGCAATTTATGACAGGTGGACCGACCCTTCGAATGATACCTATGTATATGTTAGCGTCAATAAGGAAACTCCGTCAGTAGCGTTACTGCCTAGTCAATAAGGTACTGCCTAGTCAATAGCGTTACTGACTAAAACAACTAGACAGTACGTTTACAGCTAGCATATACATGTATCATTAAAAGTAGAAAATTATTTCTGGACAATACAATGTAAAATTGGGCTATAGATCGCCAAAAACTGAAAGTAGATCACCATACTAGGGACCATGGGGACTTACAGTGCCTTTGCTACCTGCATGGACCCTAGTTGGATTTACACCATCCCTTCAGCCGCTGGCGATTGTAGGACAAGTTTAGCCGAAATTTAAAGGAACAAATATTCTATGTTTAAAAATCGGGTAAGCAAAAATTTACCTTTGAAAGTTTTGGGACTAAGGTACCCTCTCAGGAGGACAATAATTTTACGCTACTTCAACCCCCTTTGAGGTTACAGCCACTAACAATCTCAGTTACTAATCTAAACTACCAATAATAAAATATGTATCTATTTACAAATCAGTTTACAAGTCTATTTTTTTTAAAAAGGCAATAATTAAATGAGAACTTATATTACTAAAAAGATCCTTCATAGTTTGTGATTTGAAATAGATATCCCCTGTGATGGAATATTCAACACAGTCAAGCAAGACATGCCTGACTGTGATTCTTTCATCTCAAGGGATACAAAACGGAGGATCCTCACCTTTTAATGGGTACTCATGAGTATATCTTGTATGGCCAATGCGACATCGTCGCATGATGACCTCTTCAAATCTGGATTGACAACTCAAGTAGGTGTAACCAATATGGGGTTTTATTGCATGTAATTTATTAGTACCCACCTGGGTGTCCCACTTCTTCTGCATCAGATCCCGGATGTAAGTTCTAATGCTAGCATTGTAATCAGAGTAAGGAATAAGAAGTGGTGTCACAGATTTGTTGAGTGCTGCCTTAGCACCAAGATCAGCCAGTGTATTCCCAGAAATGCCAACGTGGCTGGGTAACCAACAAAAGACGATGTCGCATTGGCCAGTAGCA